TCCATGTGGTCCTCTGGTGTAACATGAGGGCCAGGCTGCTTCAGGTATCTGTCCCTCCCAGTACCTCACAGCCCCACAGCTGGCAAGCCCCAAAGAAATCACACACAGGACTCCATAAGATTATAAACTGATTGGCCCATTAGCTCAGGCTTCTTGTTAACTCTTATAGCTTATATTAACCCATTATTCTCATCTATGTTAGCCACGTGGCTCAGTACCTTTTCCAGCGGGACAGGTTACATCTTGCTTCTCTGTGGTCTGGGCAGGAATGGTGGAGGTAGTTTCCTCCTCCCTAGCCTTCCCCTGTTCTCATTGCCCTGCCTCTACTTCCTGTCTGGTTGACCCGCCTATACTTCCTTCAGCATTTTATTAAAATGCATGATTGACAGAATACAGATAATTCTCCTGCACCACCACTCTGGAATGTCACTCGCAGCTAAGGGTCTTTTTTTTTTCTTTTTTTGAAGTCATCTCCACTTGTGGCTACCTTGACACTGGTTATGTTACATCTCACTTATCTTTAGCTCCCTGGATAAAACCATAGCTCCCATTTTCGATCTAATACACTGTGCACTGGTTACATAGCAAACCCAGTTTAGTGAGTGGCAAGTACTTCAATATTTGTGATTATCATTGAATGCGCAAAGCCTTTCCATTATAGTTAATTGAATGATCCCTGCGTATTTGTAAATACCAAGTTCAGTAAACAGTCCTAGAGCGGATCCGCCACACCCCACACAGAGACAGAGGGATGGAAGACCACTGTGCATGGTGGACAGAGCTAGACACGAGATGGAGATGAGAACCAAACAAAGGGCGACTTTTAATGACTGTGTGTTCAGGCAGAATACAAATATTTGCGTGTTTTCTATTTCAGTCCTTTGAATATTTCCCAACTGCCTAAAATTCATCAAAGCTTAGTATTTGCATGTGATTTTTGTGGACTTTTGTTTTAATTTCTCACACGCATGGTTGCAATCATGGTGCGTGACAAAATTTTGCAGATAGTGCCAGTCCTCAACATGGCCATAATGGGTATAAACACAATGATCTGGGGCACCCCGATTCTCCTATTTTAGGGAACCTGTTATCGACTTCCATGGAACACATAAACTCTATCCAGAGATTTTGTAAGGATGTACCGAGGTAGATGTTCAAACTTACCGTAGAAAGGAGGGTTGTGGAGTCAGGCACGTAAGAACGTAGTCGTTTTTGGCATCTTTGCCTAATGGAGTCTCAAAAGACAGCATGCCATGCCTTCAAACTCAATTCTCTCCCCCAGACTATCTTCCAGTACAATTCATTTTGTTTCCCAATGATTGTGAACAGAGTTCTAAGGTCATTTCAATTTAATTTAGAGTAAGAGTTTTTTTCCTGGTCAGGTAACTTTTAAAATTATATATTAAATAAATAAAAATGAATTAATACCCTCCCTTTTCACATCTCTGCTATTTTAAAACAATCTCTGAGAATTGTTGAATCAAACTGATGTTTAATAAAATGTTTTGCCTTTAGTTTCCTTCACAAAATCTATGGGTCACTGATTTTGCTCAGGAATACAAACCTAAGATGGCTTAGGAGGGTTGTCTTCATTCTGTATTTATCTGACTGTGGCTGTATCAGACAGCAGCTGGGGCCAGGGTCTTGTCAAAGTCACCTGCCTCTTGTCCTAGTTAGGGCTCCTATTGCTATGATGAAACGTCATGACCACAGATGCCTGGGGAGGAAAGGGTTTATTTGGCCTGCACTTCTACATCATACTTTATCACTGAAGTCAGGACAAGAACTCAGCAATTCCCGAACCCGGAGGCAGGAACTGATGCAGAGGTCATGGACGGGCGCTGCTTATTGGCTTGCTTCTCTCGGCTTGTTCAACTTGCTTTCTTATAGAGCCCAGGACCACCAGCCCAGGGATGGTCCAACCCACAATGGACTCGGCCCTCCACCAACAATCATAATTAAGAAAATGCCCAACAGGCTTGCCTGGAGCCTAATGTTATGAAGACATTGTGTTGATTGAGGGTCCCGCCTCTCAGATTTCCTTAGCTTGTGTCACGGTGTTACAAACCTGGCCACCACACCACCTAAGTCTTGCCCTGGGATGACAAGTCTACTCTCTCTTCAGAATCCATATGACCTTTCCGTGTGCGGAACTCTGGGTGAGCTCGTCTCTGGGCTGTAGGAGAGAGCAGGTGAAGCCAGTGGAATTATGACCATGGGGAAACCTTAGACAACACACAGAATCACTGACTCCACTCCAGTGTCTCAGGTTACCCAGGGCTCAAGGAGAGGTTGCCTGTGGAACCTCCTCAGCTCTCGTTCTCTAGCTGAAGGCCTGGAGACAAGAGACAGACTCTCCATACCTCGGTCACCTGTAGATCATGGTGGGAAAGAAATTAAATCATCATCATAGACTCTTCCTTTCTTGGAGAAGTGAAGGGACCATAAGGGTCCTGATCTGGATCAGCTAGGAACCTGTCAGACATTGACTGGCCCAGTCAGTGGGCCAAGTCTAGGCTGCTGCCATAGGATGCACTGATTAGTGACTTAAAAATGTAAGTTCATATTTCAGGATCTCCATGAGTTCTAAACCCAGGTCAAACATAGCTGAGATCTCTGCTACGGGCCACAAGGCTGAGTTGAACGTTGGCCAGAATCCTGCTCCAGGCATGCCAGTTTCTGGTGGAATTTATTTCTTGGATTCCTGCCAGTTCTCAGCGACCAGAGGCTACCCACAATTCCTTGCCCTAGAAGAGTAGACAGTGAGAATGACTTCATCTCCTGCCATTAGCTAGAGAGGACTCACTCCACTTAGGAGTTCACCAGTTGGGTAAAGCTCCTCTAGACAGCTCACTTTCTTAAGGCCAGTGTGTTTTGGATCATAATCACTTTTGAGTATGTTCACAGATGCAGCTAGATTAGAGCTGGGCTGAGTGGCTGGGGTTAAGTTCGCAGTCTGCAGAAGCTGGGACTGGTGGCTAGCTACTATAGAGTTTTGCCCACTACAGCTCCCTGGCAGTTTAAGACCTACAAGACCCTGCCTCTCGCCTCCTGTACATTGGTAGTTGGTGCGGGTGCCTCAGAGCCCAAGAAACCCTATTTTCCATCGGAAGAGTCTGAGAGGCCCAAACCTGAAGATATCTCTTCATCTCAGGCCTAACTCTGGCCGCTGATTTGAGCATCTGTCATTTTGCTGTTGTCTGCTGTCTATGCTAAGAATGGGAAGTGAATTTTATTTTCAAACCTGAGAGACAAGGCAGCTTCTCTCTTACCTGCAAGTTTTCATGAAAAACAGTGGTCTGTCTTTTCTCACTTACATTTTACGCTTGCTTGCGTGTGTGTGTGTGTGTGTGTGTGTGTGTGTGTGTGTGTGTGTGTGTTTGAGACAGGGCTTTATGTAGCTTAGTCTGCTCATTGTTTTATGTTCATCTTAATACGTACCTAACTAACACACACACCGATCACACTTTACCTAGACTCCTAAACCCACTGTGGACTGTTCTGGAATTCGCTCTTTGCTGCATCGTTGCTTGTTACCACGTTGCTGACTGCTCTCCAGCACAGTGCCTTTGCCTTCGGTTTCTAGTATCATCTCCCTTTCCTCAAGCCCTATCCAAAGAGGCCTGCCAACCTGTCCACTCAGCGGCACCTCTTGCGTCTTGCCTTCCTCTCTTAGGCATTTGTGTTGGCTGTGGGATTTAAGACTTCTTCACTCCAGTGTCTGACGTCTGCGTCTGGACTCACTTGGAGACTGGGTCTCCAGGCTTCATTCTGAATTCTCTCTCTGTCTCTCCCCTTTCTTCCCAGCTCCGTATCTCTCTCAGTGTGATCTTTCTGCAGCCTCATGAGCATCACTGCCCCAGTGTGACCAGTTTTAACCTGTGGCTAGATGCTTCTCTGGGGTATCCCCAAAGAAGGCCCTTCTTTTCTCTTTTAGCCTCTCTGATGAGGAGCAGCATCTCACAGTGCAGACTCAAGAAGACTGACTTGGACGAGTGAATGCACGTGAGGATGGGTGGAGAAGAGCTGGAGTTCTTCCACTGCACACACCCTGTGCAGTCCCACTGTTAAGGCCCGGGGAGCCGTATGAGCGAAACGATGCCTGGCATTTGACTGTTGTGTTCTTCCTCACATTGTTCCTGGAAAGTTGCCTAAGCTACACAAGGCCTGCACAGCGCACTCTCCCCTCCCTTCGGTGGGATGCTGGTGAGAAGCGAGTCTTAAACACAGACCGTGTGCTGGGGTCTACCAAATGTTTGAATGCGCTCATATAAGGATCTGCTGGTCCTTAGTTTCTCAACATCTATACCACATGCGTGGCTATCTTACTTTTCCTGTTTTATTACTTCTAATTAGTTTTATTATTCGATAAAGATCCCAATTGTCCTTTGATATCCTGAAAAAAAAATCCAGCTACTAAGCAGTACAGCTCAGTCCTCATCCTGTTCCTGCTGTATTACAGCGTGGACATGTCGATTGGAAATGCTGTCCACATGTCTGAGTCACTGCCAGGAAAGAAAAAGAGATGTTCCTGCAACAGAGAACTTAGCTTCAAGCAGTGGAGGAGAGGAACCAAAATTTGCATATTTTTCTTATGTATTGAGGGTGTTATCTTGATATGAAAGCTCTTACATTCTGCTTTGTGGCATGAGGATTAGCCATCAAGCTTGCTTGAAACTTGAAATGTAGACCAATCTGGCCACAGACTTTCCTACCTCTGCCTCCTGTGTGCTGAGATTAAAGGTGTGCACCACTACACCAGTTTAAGAAGGGTATCTCCCTGAGAAAAGGCGGACTCCCAGACAAACTTGCCTGCAATGAATGGCCAGTGTTACCATTTCCCATGCTACACCCAGAAGGACATACCCAGTAGCAACTCAAGAGGATCCCTCTTTAGTATCAATTCATGTTTATGCGTGTCATACTGCCCAGAAATACTGAGGTACCAAAAAAGAATGCATCTTTGATTCAATCTTTGTTAAATTTGTTATTGCAAGGTAAAGGCCAGCAGGGGATTGGTGGGGAGGAAAGAGTGCACATGGGAGAGACTGGGGAGTATTTCGTGAAGAGAGGGCCCATTTTTGAAGACAGCAGAGGATGTAGCAGTCCCTGGAAGCTACTCTGGAGATCCTGCGGAAGTCATTCCTCACCCTGCAGGCCAAGAAAACGAAAGAACAAGATGTGCTGACCCATTAGCATCTTCTAATTTCCTTTCATCTAGTTTGTCTCCGCTGTCTTCATAGACTCTGTGTTCTGCAGATACTGTGACAGGAACACAGACTCAGTTCTAAAAATCTGCTCTCAGCTGCAGCATCTCATTAGGACCCAGTGTGTCCCAGGCTTAGTCCCTTTGCATACAGTTTAAAGACAACATCAGACTAATCCTTCAGACATTTGAGGAGTACTCAAAGCTTAGGAAAATTATCCCATTTTAGTGATGACTCAGCCTGGGCTGTGTTTCTGTGATTAAAAGCAATTAGTTTAATTTCTCCTCCCCCCAACTGGTCTTCACTCCAAGCTTCCTCCGCTAAGCTGCTGGGTATTGCATTAGCCATGCACAGAAACCAAATTTATCTTTTTTTTGTTGTTGTTGTTGTTGTTGTTGTGTGTGTGTGTGTGTAAATATGAGAGTTTGTTTAGTAATACAGGGGTGTATGAGCCTGCAATACCCCCTTTTCCCTCACGGCGCTTACCTTTGAACCCGCCTCTTTTATTAGTCCCACACTTATAAATGTTTCCAGGAAACGATTTCCAAAACTATAAATACCTTTGTTACCTCATTATCAGAAAGTTCCCTGCATTCCGTGCCTACATTTCATGTTGGTTTACTTCAGGGATGAATTCCCAAGCAGTCTTTGTGGATCCGACAAACCTAAAACCTGAAATTCAGACATTGAAAAAGAAAATGCCTGACAACTCTCTTTCAGTAAACAGTCAACGATATTTTTGTCTTCCAGCCGTTTCCTCGGGGGAGTCTGTCACAATAAAAGTTATTATTTCAAGAAAGAAGGACGATGTCTTTATCTGTACAGCCCACAGCTCCCCACCCTTTATCTCATGTACCCATCACAGTGTAGGGGCACTGACCCTGCCCCTGCAAAGGAGGACGCACAGTCGAGGGGAAGGGAGGTGACAGGCAAAAAGAAGTGACAACGAAGAATACTGCATCAAAGCCAGGCTTGTCCCCCAAACTAGCTCTGCTGCCGCAGCCCCTGCACTCAAAAGCCATATTTCTACTTAAAACCAGAGCAAAACAAACAAATAAATAAACCCTCTTTTCTACCTCTGGATTCAGATGACAGGAATATTTTACCCAAGAATGTTGAGCAATCGTAAATGACTTTTTCTCCTTCCACACTGGAAACAAACCACAACTTAATATAACAAAACTAGTCATTGCTCTCGCCAAAGTATTTCATCAGCTCCTGGCGTCCGTTACATCTGATATGCTTACCCAGCATGACTGATGGCTTGCTTCTTAATAAGCAGGCTAGTTAAGCAGAGCAGTTAATGACAGGAGATTTTTCTTTGGCTCCAGGGCTCAGCATGCACAGACAGGACCCTGCATGAATTCCCCTTGCATGGGACGATAAGATGCTTCCACGCTGCCAGCAGAAGGCAACTTTATTAATTAGAAACACATTGTGTGTTATCACGAAAGATGCATTTTTTCCAGGAAGAAGTGCCCCTTGGCACCGAGGATGACTATGAAGAAGAGCAGATAATGAGGTTACAGACATGACTTTATCTCCAATTTAGAATGCAAATATTTAGGATCAGGATTAAGACTTTGGTAGAGACAGCCTTCAAGATATCTGCAAAGGAAATACTTGAGACTGTTGTTTTCATTTTGTTTACAGCAGCTCTGGGAGGGAGACATTTACTCAGCCCTACAGGGTATCGGCAACTCAACAGAGCCTGGTTCCTACATTTTAAAGAGTCTTTTGAAATACTTCAACTTGATATGCTTTAAGCAAAATCCAGAGAACCAATAAATGGACCAATAAAGTAACTACAAAGATATCACATACTGAAAACAATTCAGCAAAGTCAGCCCATTTTTTGAGGGGAGATTGTTCATAGCTTCAGCAGAAAGAACAGTGTTTAGAGTTGAGCTGTGTGATACTAAGCAGGCTGCTTTCAGACATGTATGCAGATATATAATATAAGAGAATCTAGTCTCTGCGGCCCCATGTAGACCATCTTGATTGACATCCAGTCCCAAATGGATGTCTTCCAGACTCCATCCAGTAGCTGTATCCTATTGCAGACCTATCTGTTTTACAAAACCTCTGTTTAACTAGATTTCCAGCCTATGGGAGTTCTTTTTAAACTGCAGTGTATCCTGTTTAACTTTCTGCCATCACAATAAACATTTTTATGTGACAATATCTACCCTCTCTCATAAATTTTCTCACATTCCCATTAAGTATCCCTATATGAAGTCAGTTATCTTGCCAGTTCGATTATTTTCTGAATCCTCGAGTCTTCTAGGATTCCCCTCTTCACCCACACCACAGCTGACATAACATCTGGCCCTATAGGTCAATGTCAGGGTCAGTTGGGCATCTTATCTCTACACACATGATGTGCAGGTCTGTGACATCTATGCAGACTTGGTGTAGATGTTGGTCCATCATGTCTTGGATACTTCCTCTTTGGAGGGGATGGTGAATACTTCTATGGTTACTCTACAGTGGTTGCATTGCAACTAATCTCTCCTTTGCAAGGGACTTGCAGAATTCGAGGCCCCAGGGCAATGGTTCTCACCTCATCGGTTAATTCTTTCTGACGTTTGAATCTTTTAAGTTTTATACTATGCAATATGCTTATATCCTCACTATGTGGCCTTCTTAATCTATTAGCCTGCCTTTTGAGGACTATTGTGGATGCTACGAGATGCTGTTCCGGTAGATGGAGTGGCATCTGACTCCATACTACTAGGTGTGTACAGAGATGAAGGAAAGTGACACCAAGAGTTTTCTTTTAATACCTCCTGGGAACATAAAAGAACACTGGCATGTTTACATGTTCTCGAATGTAAATCAGTGTAATAATAGCCATAAACATGGAGAAGTTAGGCACAATTGAATTGTTCATGTCATACACGAAAGGAAAACTATTCTGAGTATATGATGGCGTGACATGACTTGTTTTGATACTCAATGCAGTCAGTAGGTGGTCAAGTGGAGGCAAAGGGTGGGGTAGGGTTATTTCTAAGATTCTAACTGTGAAAGGTGAATTGACGAGAGATTTGCATTGTTGTCGAACATTATTGTAAGGCATGCTATTTTTGTCTATGCTGCCAGTGTTTAACTCTATGAAGCTGAGATATCTTGCCTCTATAAAACACCCGGTGGTCTAATAAAGAGCTGAATGGCCAATAGTGAGGTAAGAGAAAGGATAGGTGGGGCTGCCAGGCAAAGAGAATAAAAAGGAGGCGAATCTGGAAGGAGGAGGAGAGAAAGGGGTAAGAAGAAGGAGAGAAGGGCACTAGGGGCCAGCCATCCAGTCACACAGCCAGTCACAGAGTAAGAGTGAAAGTAAGACATAAAGAAGTAAAAAAAGAAAAACGTCCAGAGGCAAAAGGAAGATGGGTTAATTTAAGTTAAAAGGAAACTGGCTAGCAACAAGCAAAGCTAAGGCCAGGCATTTATAAGAAAGAATAAGCCTTCACATGTAGACAGGGTGTTCCTAGAAATAATGCTTCTTCTGGGAATGACAAAAATAGAAGGTCTCAATCTTCTGGATTAAGATGTGGCAAAGTTTGATATTGGACCAATGACTGTAGATCAACAAGAGACAAACAGGAGCAAAACCCCTTCCCCAATGAGTCAAGAATGAGAAACTTTTAGAAATGATAGAAAGGATTCCTACTATTGAAAATAATAACCTTAATTTGGCAGGTAAAATTCAATCCATGTCAATGGGTTATAAAACCTTACAAAATGGTACTGAGAAATTATATGAAAGTATTTATTAACAGACAATTAAAATCTGTTAAAAAAGTTTTGTAAAACTAGCAGATAGAATATCCCTCCTGGAAGGCAATCTACATGCCATCCAAATAATCTCTAAGGATGAGAAGATATCCTTAATGGAAAAATTTAAAATCACATGTGCAGAATGAGAGCCAGAAATTAATTGATTTGATGAAATCATTAGAAATATTTACAGATGAAGAGATACAGATTTTACAAAAGACAGTGATAAAAAGATTTGGATTCATAGAGGAACATGTCAGAACTGATAGGGAGAGGAGGTACAGGCAAAAGACAATAGCTAAAGATTGAGCATCACCAGTACCTTCCAGAGTCAGAGATAATTTATGAAGAGTGTTAGCTACTTATCCTATTATTAACTTTGAAAAGCCAGCAAATACTCAATACCCAAAAGGATACAAAGAATGTAAATGAGAACCTATATGTATGAAAGAACTAAAAGATATTAAACAAGCAGTAGTATTTTAGGAAATGCATTCATCATATATCAGTGCTAAAGGTACGAATACTGTGCATTGGTATGGATCTTGGTTTATTGACACAAATTTAAGGTCAATTTTGTTATACTGTGTATATGCATTTCTGATCTTGATTAAGGTATTATGTTTGTCCAGCTCATTTAAAAATGTAATGTATAATTAAGAAATATAGGTTAATAGAGAGTTGATGGGGGAGAATTGTCTGTATTCTATCAATCTTATTTTAATAAAACGCTGATTGGCCAGGCAGGCAGTATAGGCAGGAAAGCCAGACAGGAAGTAGAGGTGGAGCAAAGAGACTGGGAGTATTCTGGGAAGCAGGAAGCTCCCTCTGCAGTTCTGCACAGACCACTGGAGAGGAAAGATGTAAGCTGCCCTGCTGGAAAAGGTACTGAGCCATGTGGCTAATGTAGATAAGGATAATGGGCGTAACATAAGTTACAAGGGCTGATTAGAAGCCTGACCTAATGGGCCAACCAGTTTATAATCTTATGAAGTCTTGTGTGTGATTTTCTTTGTTGCTTGCCGGTTGTGGGGTACTGGGTAGAACAGATACCCCAATAAGTCGGTCCTCATGTTACAGAGAGTCATCTACAATAGTCAAGCTTGTAGTCATGTTAGTTGGGTTTTCTAGATATATAAAGATATATTTCAGTTATATAGGTATTCTTCAAATCTTTCAGAGGCCTTCAGAATATGACATTTAAAATGTTTAAGAACTTAGGACTTTTCATAACAGTGAGACACATCTGCTCCTGGCAGCACCAATTACTTTAAGGGGAAGATGGGCATCAAAGAGGTTCCTTATGGAGTTTACTAGCCAGCCATTTGAGCAAGAAACTGTTCTTGCCTGGACTGTTTGATATTATGCTGTGTGAGATGAACATGTGGGACCCACAGAGAAATGACTGTTGAAGTTGCCTAAAGAAGTGGCCTAAAGAATTTTTCAGGGGGTTCCTGCTTCAAGAAAGAGACTGACTGACAAACTGCCAATATATGTGGAACTGTCCTTGAAATTTCCTGCTTTGTGGAAAAGTTAAAACCTTCCTTTTTACTTAAACAGAGAAGAGAAGGTGATGTAGGATTCCCTTCTAAATGGTATGAATACCATTGGTGATTAAAGAAACTGCCTTGGCCTGTTGATAGGGCAGAGTAGAGCTATGTGGGGAAAACTAAACTGAATGCTGGGAGAAAGGAGGTGGAGTCAGGAGAAGTCATGGAGCCATTTGCCAGTATGTCACAGCCACATGGCGATACACAGATTAATAGAGATGGGTTAAATTAAGATGTAAAAGTTAGCCAATAAGATGCTAGAGCTAATGGACCTAGCAGTGATTTAATTAATACAGTTTCTGTGTGGTTATTTCAGGGATGAGCAGCTGGGAACAAAGAAGGAGCTTCCCTAGATGTTAGGGAGTTGGTAAAGACATGGGCTTCAAGAAATAAGGTTACTCCACATGATTGGTTTTAATTAGTCTCAGCTGTACTAGAAGATGATCCACAGCTACAGTCAAAGTGCTATTGAGAGAAAAAAAACAGAAAAAGGATAGAGAAAGTTCTTTAAAAGAAGAGATAGAATAGCTGGGCATGGTGGCACATGTTTTTAATCCCAGCACTTGGGAGGTAGAGGCAGCCAGATCTCTAAGAGTTCAAAACCAGCTTTGTTTACAGAGTGAGATCCAGGACATTCAAAGATACACAGAGAAACCCTATCTAAAATAACAAAAATTAAAAAATGAAAATAAGAGAAATAGAGTAAAAAAAAAAGTCATGTGAAGATGGAAAATACACACAGAATCTGAATTATATATGTTACTTGTTTTCTTTGAATTTTTAAACTGTGAATGAGATAACTACAGAGAGCTATATCATTGGACAGGCTGCTAAGCATCATGTCTAGGTGTAGGTATACCAAGGAGTTCCACAATATTTAGGAATGGAATATA